TTGATAAAAATATTATTACGTTAGTGATAATACCAAGATTATTTAATCTACTATCACGTAGTAAATTCCAAACATTTATTTGAAACACAATTGACTAAACATTAAAAAAAAAAAAAATAAAACCAATCCCAAACAAGTCTTATTTCTCTCAATAGTACTTTTCGAATACCTTTACCTCCTTGATAATACCAAGACAATTCATTATACTATCGAGGTATAGGTATTCAAATAAGTCCATAATGCATAATACATGTATACAAATGTGTACATACATAATAATGCAGGTGTTGCGTATACTTCAAACTATCACCCATTGCCGCCAAGGGATAAAATTCTTGTCATCCTCATCCCTCTTACCCTCATCCCCCTGCGCACATAACATTCTACCCCGGTTTCCCCTACTCCGCGCATCTTCGGCTCGCGGCGTCTGTTGCAATATCGAAATGATCGCTCTATGATTTTCTCTTTTCTTTCTACAACTACAACCCCTTCCAAAAATTAATAGAAAAGTTGAATATAGATGAGAATTAGACTTAGAAATTGGTATATGGATGGTATATTTTTTATGGATGGTATTGGCATTTTGTAGAATTTGATGTCGATGGTATTTTTTTTTGTATTATGTGGAATAAACAACTAACGCCCATTTTAATAAATATTAATAATTAATTAATTTAGACACATATATTTATGCACTGTAGTCGCAATAATCTGACAAGAAAAGTTCAACAGACGAAACTTATAAAACAGTTCTGATTGATCTTGAATTATTGAAAAAAAAAAAACTGGCAAAAGCCTCACATAACATTGAAATTATTGATTGGGACTTGTTATGGATAAATATTTACTTAATACGGAAATATATATTTATAACATATTAAAATATGTGAATAGAATTAGGTTCGTTTGCTCTTCCATAAAAGGATCAAAATTTGTGTAAGTGTATTCATTTAGTAGTACGATAAAATATTTTTTTATATAATAGATTTCTATATATAATATATTTCTATATACTCTATATAAAATATAAGTTTTCTTGTTCATATGTTAACGAATAATAATAATTTACTGATATGCATACACCGACTTATTACTTTTTTCATAATAATTATCAATAAACTTGAATAACCATAGTTGGTATGAAATATTTGAACAATATTTAAGTTTATGTAAGATTTTCTCATATCAGCCTATACATGATTTATTTTTATTATTGCATTATTTTTTTGTTATAGAGAATCTTCACAAATATAAATAATTAGTTATAGAGAATCTTAGAAGGGAAAGGGAAAGGGTACTTGTATTGAATTTTTCGTAAATATAACGTTTTTGCAAAAAAAAATAAAAATCAATGTGAGATTGTTCTGTTCGTTAGTACAATAAATATATTGTGAAAAAAATCAATTGAAACTTAACCTTAGTCATTTGTTAATGCATGTTTTCCTTATTTAGCTTGTTTGTTCAGTATTATAACAATTAAATACAACCTTTCAAAATTAGAATAACCAAAATCGTTAGAATTTTTTTTGTATATGCTTACATCGTCGAATATGATTTACATAAAAAAATTAATTTACAAAATTGGCACTTGACTTAGATATTCTAATTGTAAGTACTACCATAAATTTTCTGATGTTCCTTACTGAAATAGACACAGATATTTAAAAAAAAAAAGTTTATATTAAATTGTTTATAAGAGATATGCTTTATTTGCATTTTGCATTTTTAATTATTGGTTGTTGATAATTAAATGCGAAAATAAAATTAATACCAAGAATAAGTTCTCGACAGACACGTAACTTGAGAATTAACGATATATGATCAAGAAGACGACATCAGTAAAAAGAGTACATCACTATGTTTGGTGTTAATTAATGCTAAAAGTTATTATTATTCCATTTCAAATAAAAAAATTAATATATATATATATATATATATATCAATTCAATTAAAAACAAAGTGGCCGATAAGTTTTTTATATTTAGTACTACTTCCTTAGAGTATAATCTAAATTGTTAATTTTATGGGGCAAAAAGTGCAAAAAATGGTAAATCAGTTTTTGAGATAACAAAGCGTTCGCTTTGAATGATTCAAAAACCATTTTATTTGTATTGACGAAATAAAAAACTGATAAATTTTTTGTTCTAATTTAAAGATAACAATACATCTTATAAAGCAATCAAAATAATGTATACTTAAAATTTATTTTGAAGATCTCGTAAACTAAACAAAAGTGTTCGTATCCAAAAAAACTAACAACAAAATTAAAACTTTTGTTAAGGATTTTCAAACATTGCCGTTTATCTCATAATAACAAAGTCCTAATATTCAAGGTGGTGGCTGGTTATACATACTTTGCCTTCTACTTTCAAATATTGTTGTTCAAAAAATCATAACTATACTGGTTTTTATGATATCGGTGGTGAACCCTTCACCCGAAGATTTTTAAACCCCCCTATATCTTCGTAATATAAATGAAATATTCTACTTTGTTCAGAATAGTCTAAGATGTTTTCTAATACTATAATAATAGAAACGATGTGGCGGAATTAGCTCATGTACAGCGTTTCCGATTCACACGCCAGAGGTTAGAAGTTCGAATCTCCGGCATAATATAGAAATACTATTAAAAATAGTTTGAAATAAATAATAAACAAAAGGATGTACTGATGTACATATAATATTAGAAAATGTTCAGCCACACAGCATTATTGCTTAGAAACAAAATTCAAAAAACTCGAAATACAAAAAAAATTAATTTTTTTCAAAAACATCAATTTCTTCAAAATAAATCACAATACTGAAAAATCTAATTTTTTCTCAACAAATTTTAAAGTTTTTTTAAAACTGTTAATTTTCGGTAAGGAAAGCACGATGCCACATAATACTAGTTCAAAATTTCAGTATCCAAATTTAAATAATCCCACGAACTTTATTAAGTGTAGTAAAAAAAATTAAACTTTTTCAAAAAAAGTCATTTTTTCAAAATAAATCACAATTCTGAGAAATCTGATTTTTTCTGACCAAATGTTAATTTTCGGTAAAAAAAGCACGATGCCACTCAATACTAGTTCAAAATTTCAATATCCAAATATAAATAATCCCACGAACTTTATTGAGTGTGGTAAAAAAATTAAACTATTTCAAAAAAGTCTGAAAAATCTAATTTGTTCTCAACAAATTTTAAAGTTTTTTTGAAAATGTTAATTTTCGGTATAGAAAGCACGATGCCACGCTCTACTAGTTCAAAATTTCAATATCCAAATATAAATAATCGCACGGACTTTATTGAGTGTGGTAAAAAAATTAAACTTTTTCAAAAAAGTCAATTTTTTCCAGAAAAAATCACAATTCTGAAAAATCGAATTTTTTCTCAACAAATTTTAAATTTTTTTTGAAAATGTTAATTTTTGGTAAAGAAAGCACGATGCCACGCAAGATTAGTTCAAAATTTCAAAATCCAAATATAAATAATCGCACGGACTTTATTGAGTGTGGTAAAAAAATTAAACTTTTTCAAAAAAGTCAATTTTTTCCAAAAAAAATCACAATTTTGAAAAATCTATTTTTTTCTCAACAAATTTTAAAGTTTTTTGAAAATGTTAATTTTCGGTAAAGAAAGCACGATGCCACGCTCTACTAGTTCAAAATTTCAATATCCAAGTATAAATAATCGCACGGACTTTATTGAGTGTGGTAAAAAAAATTAAATTTTTTCAAAAAAGTCTTTTTTTTTAAATAAATCACAATTCTGAAAAATATATTTTTTTTCTGACCAAATGTTAATTATCGGTAAGAAAAGCACGATGCCACGCAATATTAGTTCAAAATTTCAATATCCAAATATAAACAATCCCACGAACATTATTGAGTGCTGTGCTATATCGAGTCAAGTCAAAGTCAAAAACATATATATTTCAATAAATGTAAGTATATAAATTGCATTTTATAACATGGGTTTTTTACCCGTAGGTATTGTATCCTTCATTGGATTTGATTTTTCAAACAATAATTAATTCAGAATATATAAATAAATTCATATTTGTGTGACAAAAAAGAGGAAATTGTGGTATATCGTTCGATTCGACAGGCCTTTAATAAAAAGTGTCTCTATATCTGGTCGAAATCGCGTACTGGCGTACCTTCCTGCCCACCTATCGGCCGATGAACACAAGTACAACGCCGATACCGAACCTCGCGAAGAAGACGCGAAAGAGAGAACTCATCGCGTCGCGTCGCGTCGCATACAGCGCGCTTTTTTATTCCTAGTAGCAGTCCGCCGTTCTCTGTCCGCCGATACGATCCGAAGCCTGAAGTCGCGCATGTTTTTCAGCTTTTGTGCCATCGAACCGCGATTGGCTAACAGTTCGGGGCGGGGCGTTTAGAATCTCTTCTACTCTCGGGCTCAAGCTAAAGATTCGCGTCTCTGTCTAGCGAGACGAACGCCGCTGGGTACCCCCCTGACACTGCGCCGCTTCAGGTCTACGCCGGAGTGGCTGAAACAGCAAGCGCGCTCGCTAGGAGCTTCGTCAGTGTCGATTCGAACTTGGAACGGTACGGTCGCTTTTGCACCAGCGACTTACGTACGCGCGTGTAATAGACATATATAACTAACTTAAAATAAATATTAATTTAATAATAATCAAAAATTTATTTAGTGACTTTTATTAATTTTTCTTAAAATAAGTGACTTTAACCAAATTTAGTGACTTGTCCAAATTTTAAGTGACTAAAATTATTGGACTAGTGTATCAATTACCCTGTGATTTTCCAAAATTGTGCATTTTCCGTGTAAGTGGCTTTTCGCGCCCGTATTAATGCAAGTGTTGTATTACAAGTTTCAAGACAGACGGGATTATTAATAAGAATGCAATTATGCCATGTGTATATATGAGCTTTTCTTGAAAGGATCCCACGTTGGCATTTGACTCCTGATAAAGGACTTTGCTGATTCGTCGTGCAAAAACTGATAAGATAACATGCTCAACCATTATGAAAATAGTTCGGATATTATAGTGAATTGAAGATTTTTTTAAGACTTGTTTATGAACTGTTTTGTGCACAGTGTTCAAGTGTAAAAGTATGATTAAATTTGTTTGTTGATTCACCGAGACAAATTCTTAGTGTGATCATGAAACGAAAAGTATTTTACACCCTTACCTGCTAGCCTTCAATTGTGACGCATGACTGCTAAAAATCCAACTATAGCTGGCCCGATTGGCGGCGGCATAAAAACCTCAACAACCCCAAATTGTACCCCCCAAATCACGGTCCGAGGTGATCTGATTCTTAGCAGCAACAATAACGCTCAACTCCTTGAGTCGAATATTTCGAAAAGTGGTGAAGAATTAAGACTTATGCAGCCAACAGTGGCGGGATTGCTGCCGGCGCAGGCAAGCAACGATTTTGCGCATCATCTAATGCAGAATAATCATTTGACTCATAATATTAATAATAATAATAACAACAATTCGACTTTGGGAGCGAACACGAGCCAATTGGCAGGTGTCGGCATGGAGGCGATGCAATCGATGGATTGGCTTTTCAAAAAGGAGAGGATTTATCTCTTGGCGCAGTTTTGGCAACAGGTAGGATCTACTTCGAATTATATAGGGGAAGTGCGAAAAATTTGCGAAACTAAATCCATCTCGATATTTTCCAATAAAAAAGTGAAAAATCATACAAAATCCAAACTCTACTACACAATTTTATCTATGATAAAAAAATATTACATTTCATATTTATTCTATGACAACCCAAAAAACAAATTTACGAAAAGTATTCCCTGTTACAGTTACAGTTACAAAAAATAAGTGTCTTTAAAATAAAATTTGTCCATCAAATTTCTCTGTTCTAGTGCATGATTCTATGTATCTAAAATAATAAGTGTCAATTTACTAAGCAAAGCTGTTGTGTAGCATATATACAAAAACTTGGTGTGCTAACGACGCTTTTCTTGTCCTCAAATTTTTCTTCATAATTTTCGAAAAAAAAAATTTTTCATAAAAATATAATTTTAACGTGTATAAGTGTTTTTTGTATGTGTTATGTGTTTCTTATAATTGGCCGAATAGCTTAGGAAAATTCAATAATTTTAATTTTTTTTAAAACACTAGTGAAAAACCCGATAGGAAAAAATAATTTTGAATTATTTTTATTATTGATAATTTTTAAAACATTTTAGGACAATTTAGGAATTTAAAATTTTTATGCCAAAATTTTTAGGAAAGTGCTTTTTACTGTTCGTTATTAAAATCGTGTCATAGAAATTATTCACGACATATGTGACGAATATTAGGTCATCATAAAAACATCGAATAAGCGAAACAAAACTGCATGTTTAGCAAAAAATAAATTTTGTGTATTTGTTTTGAATGGTTGAATTGGTCGAAATAATTTGCTTACTATTTAGTAATTCCAAAATTACCAAAATATCAAAAAAAAAAAAAATTGAAAAAAATCTGGTGCGGCTCAAAATGATCAGTGTATGTACAATAATTTTATTTTCAAGAGTTAAATTGGTGGAAATTATTTGCTTATAATTTATTGAATTCTAAATTACAAAAAAAAAAACGAAAAAACGACAAAAAATTTTTTTCAGGTGCGTTTAAAAATGATATAAAGTGCATGTTTTCGTGTGAACAAAAATACATAAGTATTTTTGTGTATTTGTGTTAAATATTTAAATTGGTCAAAATCATTTGCCTTGAATAGAAACTTCAATATAATCAAAAAAATTCGAAAAAAAACCCAAAAAATTTTTTTTTAGGTGCGTTTAAAAATTACCAAAGTGTATGTTTTCGTGTAAACAAAAATGAAAATATAGAGTCAAATAAAAATATAGTCGAATATAATACAAAAGTATTATAAAACTAAATGTTAGGAATTGATAAAAAATGTGTGTATGTTTAGCAAAAATGTGAATTAGTTTTAAATATTCCAAACGCAATTGCTTATAATTTAGTAACCTAGAAGTTACAAAAAAAAAAATCGGAAACAAGAAAATTTTTTTTTTCAGGTGCGTCTAAAAATGATAAAAGTGTATGTTTTCGTGTAAACAAAAATACGATGAAAATAAAGAAAAAATATTTTTAATATTACTGTTAGGAATTGTTAAAAAATGTGTGAATGTGATTTGTGATTTAGTGACCATATAGGTACAAGTAGCTACTTTTGAAAAAATTATATACATAGTGAAATTATTTTAAGCATGGCCATATGCAATTTTTTAAGTTCCCAAAACGTATAAAGTGATGTGAAAAGTTGTAGAAAAAATATTAAGTACAAGATTTGATTTTTAGTCAAATATTTTTATGACATACCCGGACGTCCAAATCACTGGATTGCTATTAGATTTAGACATTTAAAGTACTAGCAAAAATTTGCTGATGTTTCCATATTACCATATGGAATAGATGCAATTATTAAAAAAAATATATATATATAGGAAAATTAAGGAAATTTTAAGTAACATGAAGTAGCAAAAGAATAGTTAGGTGTATTATACATTATAATTCGTATAGGTCGAAATAATCCTCCGGTAAATTGATCTGCCCATCAAAGGTCGCTCGTCGTTGACTTATTTGCCGCAAACACATCTCCCGCGATCATTATAACGTTTTATAAATATATATCCCTCATCATTTCATTCTTGAGAAATAAAACAGCGTCGGTCGAAATCCCAAATTCTTTTATCGACTTTTTACGACTATTCGACAAGAGAAGAATGCTAAACGGCGCATATGACACTAACAAACTAACAAAAACTAACACTGGCGAACAAAAATCAAGTAATATTAACTAACACGAGCTCTCCCGCGATCTCTCACTCAAGACATCGACACCAGAAGATATTTTTTAAAATAGAATGTATCGATATGTGTCGCATGGACGGGGACGAACTGAGAAAAAAATCAAAAAAAAAAAAAAAAAAATTGCTTATATGTCTGTTCATAATATACAAAATTATCTGTAAGACTAATATTTTATATAAGGGATAAAATATCTTAGGCCCTTTTATAAAATTCATAACTTTGTTACAGTAAACTCATTGTGAAAATCATGTAAAATTTACTCATAGCATCATGTTCACCACTTATAATTTATTTTTACAAAATTTCAAAATTTACTTAGAATCTGTCTCTCATTACCAAAATGAGTTTATTGTACAAGTTATTTTAAAATAATAAATGTGTGAATGAATATTTTCCATACTTATAATTTTTTTTTTTTTTTTTTTTTTTGAATGAAAATTTTACTTTTTTCATGATTTTGAAAGTAGTATTTTTAATTTATGTTTGATACTAGAGGAGAATTTGATAATGAATGTGTTAATAATTTTCTTACTTATAATTAAAAAAAAAATTATGTGACATGAAAATTTTACCATTTTAATAATTTTAATAATAGTAGTATTAATAGTTTTTAATACAAATTTGATACTAGACGAAGTTGATAATAGTTGTGTTAATGATTTTTCAGACATAATTTAAAAAAAAGAAAAAAAATGAGGTGGCATGAGTATATCATCACTTTAAAGATTTTGCCAATCTTATTAATTCTTTTTTAATAAAAGTTTGATACTAGAGGAAGTTGATAATAAGTGTGTTAATGATTTTCCATACTACCTCAAGTAGTAATATTTATATTTTCTATAATACTTTGATACTAGACGAAGTTGATAATGAGTGTGTTAGTGATTTTACTTACTTATAATTTTTCTCAAAAAAAAAAAAATAAGTGACATGAAAATTTTACCACTAATTTTAAAAATCATATTTTTTTTTAATATAAGTTATATACCAGACAGCGATTTGTCTATCTCCCATCATTTATTATTTCACCAAGTAATAATTTATAGTCGATTAAATTTCCCAAAGTGTCAAAATCTACTCAAGTGAAAATTCGTCACTGGCCAACTATCATAAATCCGCTGATTCACCAAATCTTCAAATATCGCTGAGAATTCCAACAGACTCTAATATTAGTGTGTGTCTTCTATATGCATGTGTTCGAAAATAGTTTTATTTATTTAATAATATTTCTTAAAAATCGTTAATGTCGAATGCGACGTGAATTTTCACAATCTAATGTGTTCAGATACGTCAAATCTTTATATTTGACACATACAGAACGACGTAAGAATTTATTTTTCTCGTGCCGCTTTTATTGTTTTTATAGACTTTAACGGAAAATTCCAATAATAAAATTTTCCAAAAATAAATGTCAAAGATGGAAATAGAAGAACTGTCGATTACTTGTATCGTCTTACTAATAATAGAAGTTACTTACTTAGATCTCGATAGGCACTACGGTGAAAAGTATCAATAAAAGAAGTGATCATAATATTTACTTTTTTGAAGCAACTATATAAAATGTGCAATTTTTTTTTAGATATAGCAAAATATGAGTGATTTATGTAATTAAAAATAAGAACATAATAAGTTTAAAGTAAATAACTCACGCAAAAAATAAATTTGAATTCAGGGTAAAAATTAGTTCGTTTTTTCATGTTTTTTCACGAGTAGCAAAATCTTTTATTTATGTATATATTTCATGTTTATTATTCAAAATTGGTTTCTGCGTAGGCAGGTAGCATCGAAGTTGCAACTTCTTTTGCCTTTGTCATTAGATCACTAATTTAGTAAATTTATTAGAACCATAAAATATGGCCCAAGTGAATTAACATCAAAAGATATCTGTATTGGCATCAAACATAAACATGGGAACTTATGTAGAACCCGAAAGACAGAGACGTAATAACAAAAAAAACATTTTTTTTGGGAATTTGCTATCACTGATTTACATGCTTGAGTATAGTGAGAGAAATATATAAGAGTCTCACTATATACTCGCAATAAAATTAAGGAAAATAATAAAAACTTGTAGGATTTAATTACACTGTACATCTACATTTAAATATTTTGCATTTCGGCCCCTTCTAATTCATCGATATATTTAGAACCATGTCACTTCTAATAACCAATCAAGATGAGTTACATATTATATGATACATTTAAAATCAAAAAGTGACAAATCATACTTCACAGTCTTTTGTATTTATTTTAGTATTAAATCCTGATATAATTTATATTCACTTTACGTAAGATTGTACTTAATAATGTTCGCCGAGTGCTAAACGGTGCAAAAGCTATTATTTATCTGCAAAATGCATTTTCGGTTGAAGCGATTGTCATGACTTGACAATTAATGTCGTTAAAGATAAATTTGTGTTACGGTTAGAGATATATAGATACAGGTTTGAGAAAACAGATTGGAGAAAATACAACTAAAATTCCCTATTTCAAAGCAAAAATCAACACTACAGTGTAAATAAAATATTTGAATAATTTATAATGAATAATAATACGCTTTTTTATTAATTAATTGATACAAATAGTTTGTCGTGTTAATATTTTAATTGTCAGAAAAAATAAATAATCCGCAACCCTCCGCGCGGTTATCATTGCTCCCGTAGTTCAGCTATTCTACGCTAGATGTGGCGCCACGACCGAGCGCTTGATTCTAGTTCGAAACCAACAAAACTTGTATGAATGCTTCGAAATACAATATTTTTTTAAAATTTGTA